GACTTTTGGTCGTTTTTTTTTTTAACTGAACTGTTGTGAACTGTCATATGTTTTTGATTATCAAGATGGTCATTAGTGGTATCATAATTTTGAATTTTCAACATTTATGGGTGTTATATGTCGCGTGACTTAGTGACAGTGATAATTGAATTCTTCACCATCAGTAATTAAAGTTGCTTGACCTCGAGGAGTTACTAAAACATCCCTAGATAYCCAAGACGACATATACACTGGTACCTCTTGTCACCTTAATCAGCACTAGTTTCTGCGCAAATAACATARCTAAGGCGTTGTTGAATACCAAAAATTTGTCCGCAATCATGAATTGGAACTTTCCTTTATTACTGTTAGTTGTTGTTTTCTCAATCTCCTTACCGTCTGAAGGATTATCACAGAAATGCGCTTCTATGGTAGGAACTCCACTCCAAAGATGTAACGTCGCTGGCTACAACTCAACCTTTCCGATTCCATTTAAAATGAAAAACCAAACTAAAAAGTGGGTAAAGATGTTCTTAGACTACGCTGTAAAGATGTCAGAGTCAAATAACTGTTCATCTGAACTTCAAAGCATGGGAGAGATGATTACATGTGCTATATACGTGCCTAGGTGTAGGAAAGGTGATCTATTTCTACCATGCAGGCGAGTTTGTGCTGAGTTCTTCAAGAAATGCGACGGCCATATCGATCCATTTTGGTTCGATTACTTCATCGCGTTTTGTCCAATGCTTCCCGATTTCAAGGCATCGTCAGGGAGATGCTTTGAACCACCAAACTTTGATAAGAATTTCAACGACACAGGCACAGGTTAGAGGGTCATTTTTCGGTTTTCTTTTTTTTTTATTTGTTTCTTTTTTGTATCATTTTTGTCCGTCATAATATTTCTTATTATTGTTCAGTACTAGTGATGCTTAATTGTTAAGGAGCATAAATTGTTATTATATTATTCATCACCATAATAGCTATWATCATCATCATCATCATCATTGTGTTTACCAGGGTTCTTTAAAAACATTTATTTTATATTTTTCAAGTATCAACTATGTCAAATATTGTGCTTATTTAGCCCCGTACTTATGATTTTTTAAGAGCACGTTTAGAATTGAATTAACACCCATTAGTACATTGTTGAGATAATTTTCTTGACATGCGACAGAGCCGGAAAGATACCTGAAGCGCAAAAGCATGGCTTTTGAACTGCAGCCCATTAACTATCTAGACTAAGAGCACATAAAGCCATAACAAAAAGCATGCCTACAAAACTAAAAATCAGAAATGATCTACAAACAGAAAATGAACCAAAAAAAGTAAATAAACAGACAAATGAACAAACCGCAAGGAATGCACACAACGAAATATGTATCAAACCAAAATGTTACCTGTCTTTGGACAATCATACAAATAAAAATCCAATATACGCGATTGGTTTAAATAAACACGTAACACAAAGTGCTGAACAGTCCAATTGTAACAAAAATGTCTATTGCACTGGAAGTACAACAATAGAGAGATGTTAAGTGTAGTATGATATAGTGCTTGTACTCTAGTAAACAATAGACAATGCGCAACGACGCCATTTTGCACATGACAAAGAATGATGGGCGACGCAGTCTCAGCACTGACATAGGTTCGCCAAATTAGTTCCAAAAAGTTGTTTTTACGTGTTTTTTTTTAATTTACAAATATGAAAATAATTGTGGTGTTTCTAAAAATAAATGAACTAGAAAAAACGTTTGGGACCTATTCGGTTTCTACATCTCCCAATATGCATTGCGTTTCAAAATGGCGTCTCTGTACATGATATTTCGTACTAAATGTTGCTTGCTTGTAGTTTTTGCGACTCTCTCTACCTAGTCGTGCAAAAGTCAMATAGCGCAAAATAGATGACAAATGTAATCTATATTCTGTATTGCAGACATTCTAAACGGAAAATGTCACAAGATAATCTTTCCATGGTGCAAGAACATTGGATATGAGTACACAATCATGAAAGAATCCACACAAATGATCTCCTATTTTTACCTGTATGGTAAAAACTTTACTAACACAAGCAGTGACAACAGAGTCCCTAACAATTCACATATAAATTACTGGTTGAAGTTTGAACRAAATTAYTCAGATTGTGCAATGAATATTCGTAAGATGCTGTGTGCGGATCTCTTTCCACCATGTTACCCAAACGAAGGGACAGGCCTGTATAGTATTTGTCATAAGACATGTTTGGACATGCGCAAAAGGTGCCCCACCATCGCGCAACATCCAACGTATCTGGGGAATTTTTTCAACTCTTGTGAAGCATTGGCCTCTGAATACCCTTCCCATGGGTACTGCAAGCGGACCTCATGGCCGAAACCTTTGCTGTGGCTTAATTATTTCAAAGGTATGGAAAAATTGAACTTGCCTCTGCGGCATCCAACCTTCTTTAKTGACAACAACTGAATGCAATATTCCARCCGCAAYCAATMAATTATTAGTTTTTGTCTATTTTAGAACGTACAGTACCAAAAACAAAGCCGACYYCAACGTCCCCTTCCGTACCTGCATACGTTATAGTGATAGCAGTGGTGATTCCTTTGGTCTTAATTTTCATTATCGCGGCTGTGGTCCTAGTATGGAGGCAGCGCAAGCTTCCATGGTTTGTGCGCAAGTTCAAACGTGGYGAAGACACGAAAGACATAGTTGAAGATGAAAATCCAGAAATTCCAGAAGAGATTACAAAGGTTGGATAGTTCTCGTGAATACTCACGATGCAGAGGTGTCGTTTTAGCTACCTTTGCGTTTTTGGTAAAAGACAATGGACGGCTTAAAAGTGAAAAGCTAATGTATCAACAGATTTAGATTTGTGTTACATTTTGAAATCTTTAAATGCTCTATTGTCTTTATACGGATTACGAAAAGAGGCGCTCAGCCATGTGGGATGCAGGTTCTGAGCATGCGCAATAAGAGCAGTAAATTTCGTATTAGGCATGCATCAAATAACAAACTCTTCCATATGGACCAATAGYTCATGATCTGGTTCTGCATTTCGTCGGCTGTAAATCCTTCGGACAATTAASACTATACCAACAATCAGTGCTATAAATATGACAGCTCCCACCACGATACCCACAATCCCTCCAGTCTTGAGTTTCTCAGTGGAGCCTCTTGCGAGTACTTTAGGCTTTGTWATTGTGGAATTAGTTGATGAAACTAGAAAATATAACGATATCACGTGAGCATACCTTGGTAGAGTGTACACAGTAGACTGATGTAATGCCATAGTGTACCGCGAAAGTAGATGGATGTAATGCCATAGTGTACCATGACAATAGATGGATGTAATGGCATAGTGTACCGCGAAAGTAAATGGATGTAATGGCATAGTGTACCATGACAATAGATTGATGTAATGAAACTATGCCAGACTTAGTAAGGCAACGTGTATCAATAATCATTGAGATTGGAACTCGCGCGGTAGAAACTAGAATGGACATTAGAAATATACATATACAAATATATCATGGAAGAACATTATATAACCCCCTTTTTGAAATGAATAAGTTTTTCAATATTTTAGTACTATATTCTTGTTTAAGGTTAGATTTGTCAATTATTATATCGATCACTTTCGTCATCGACCACATAGAATTTACTTAGAGGAAGTCCAAACACTAAAGTTTAGAAATTAAATAATGATAAATTGTAGAGCAATGCCATTAAACCCGTGAAACAACATATAGACTGCAAGAAAACTGTGGAATTAGAGCGTACTAAGGTATATTTGACTTCACTCTAATCTACACTATATTGCGACAATTATTTGTTCATGTTTTTCGTGTTTTTATTAAAATTATTGCACAGAGACTGAAACATTAGAATCTCACAGGGGTATACGATGTTGTAGTATTCAACCTATTAATGTACCTGTGGTTATGGGCTTGGTGGAGATTAGAGTGGTCGATTTTCTGAATTKTGTTGTTTTTGACAGGTGCTGGGACGGAGTTTTCGTGGTTGGCTTGGCAGCTGTTGTGCTTGGTGGTTTACTGGACGAATTATTGGTTGATCTGGTAATAGTTGTGCTTGGTGGGCGAGTAGTAGAGACTTTGCTTTGCTTGGTAGTTGATGAGTTTTGTGAATGAGTTGTAGTTGTTTTAGGGCTAATTGCTGGTGTGGTGGTGGTATTCACTGGTGGTTGATTGGTCGAATTATTGATAGATTTGGTCGTCTTGACGATTGGTGTACTAGTTRTATTGCTTACCGGTGCTGTAGTAGACTTCAGTGGGGAACTGCTGGAAGTTTGGGTAGAAGGAGTAGTCGAATTATTTCGTAACTGAGTGGTTACTTTGCTGGTTGTGTTGGTAGTTGTCATTTGTGTGGTTGGCAGAGTAGTAAATTTGCTAGATGGTGAAGAAGTCGAYTTATTAGGTGGTTTGACCGTTGTGCTGTTGGAAGATTTTGTAGCTGTTGTTCCTGAAGTTGTTTTGACAGTTGTCATTGCACTTGATATTGATGTTGTCTTGCTGGATGGCTGGGTGGGTGTCTTGATGGTTGTCTGGTTGGTTGTTTTACTAGATGGCTGGGTGGTAAGTTTGCTGGATGGCTGGGTGGTAGGTTTGCTAGATGGCTGGGTCGTTGTTTTATTGGATGGCTGGGTGGTTGTCTTGATGGTTGTCTGGTTGGTTGTTTTACTAGATGGCTGGGTGGTAAGTTTGCTGGATGGCTGGGTGGTAGGTTTGCTAGATGGCTGGGTCGTTGTTTTATTGGATGGCTGGGTGGTTGTCTTGATGGTTGTCTGGTTGGTTGTTTTACTAGATGGCTGGGTTGTAGGTTTGCTGGATCTAGATGGCTGGGTGGTTGTTTTATTGGATGGCTGGGTGGTTGTCTTGTTGGTTTTCGGATTAGTTATTTTGCGAGTTGTTTGTTTTGTAGGCGGTGAAGTTGTGGTCTTTGCTATCGTAGCGGGTGATGTTACACCTTGTGTTTGTAATGTTGCAGTAGAAGGATTTGTTACAGTGTGTGGTATAGTACTATTTGATTGATTCGTTCCTTGATTACTCAGTGCTGTCGATGTCGTTTGGCTAGTGCTTGATCCACTCGGTTTACCACTAGTTGCTGACTCCACAGATTTACTGGTGTATAATTGAATTGTCGTTCTATCGTTTGAAGGACTTGTATACGTTTTTGTGGTTACACTCCCTTGTGTTCGTATTGAAGAACGTGTTGAAACCTCAGAGAATTCGCTTGGCGGTAATATAGTGGAGGAAAATTKTTCCGCTTTCATGTCGGCCATGATGCATGCAAGCGAAATGAATAACATCGAGACAGTTTTTGTTTGCGGTCTTCTAGCCATATCGTGCASAACTACAAGATCAACAGAGTGATTACTTATCATATTAAAACTTCGATTAYTTCACAATAGCTTGATTGATAGTTTAATGGTATAATTTCAAAGCTTTCTCCTCCTCAAAGTAAAAAAAAGTTTGTGCAATGGTTGATATCAATGAGATATTGAACACTTTAAAATGTATTAACAAACTTACAATTTGATTGAAACTTATAAAGAACTATCGTCTGATTCTTGTCATTGAAGAGTGCAGTGTCAGGAAGCTTGATTCTTCCACACAACAAAGACAATCTTTAAGAAGTTCCGGGCTGTAGTCGATCACATGACGTTGTCTGCAGTATGCTAATTCAGTAGTTCAGCGAATTCGATGAATATCAATTAAATGACCCTCCTTAAACGGTTTGCTGAACAACAATAGAGTGCTTACGAAACTAACAAAAGAATGAAACTTGMGTGCGAACAAAAATAGTGTACTTGAGGAAGAAAAAGGATTAGAAAAATACAAGTTGCAATTATTATTATTTTCTTTTTTTAGAATATATTATAAAGATGTTATGTTCTTAAATACGTTAGTCGTTTATTACTGACAGTTCTAAAGTAAATATTTGGAAAGGTTCGCTATATATCACGTGGCGAGTGTTTGATAAACATGGCGCACTTGTCATTTACAGGTCACGCAATGCATAGATGCTGTGTCTACCAGCTAGAGTGAATTTGAATACAAAAGTGAAAAATGCAAGAGAAATGGAAAGGATGACCGGATGTAGAGCGATGAAATTATGCTTCATTTTCGTAATCGGTATATGATAAACAAAAAGTCATTATCATATGAAAAACTTTTATTTTTCGTATCTATCAACAATCATTTCAGAAAAGTATTACAATTAAGTTATTAAACTAGAAGAAATTGCTAAATCATCTTGTACCATATATCATGGCAGCAGATATCCATTTTTATCATATAATTATCAATGAAATACTAATTTCTCACTTTCGAAAACGTTTTATTTCCCKCTTATAAAACTAACTTATCCGTAGTACCTCTATATAGTGGAGGTAAATAAAAGTTATTTTTAAAATAAAATTTGCATTCATGGATAATTGCATGATTTATAGACAGTGACTTGGAGATACGGATTCCTCGTCGTTGAACTGAATCTTTCCAACGGCGCTGTATCTCCACGAGCCAATGTAATATCCTCCACATATATATCAAAGAAAATTCAAAATGAAAAGAGTTCAACAAACAGAATTCAGATTATCAGAAGACGAAGACGATTTCCAATCAAATTCCCTCTTTATAAAAATTAAAACTTTGCAATTATAAAAACAGTATGACACATTCTCAGCTAACAGAGGCTTCCACAGTAGATTCTAATGAGAAAATACGAAGCTTCCTACCCTTGTATTAAATTATTATTGTCTGAAGTCTCTGCAGGGAAAACAGTAAAAAACCCACGCATAGTTTAGATGATACGYAATGAGAACCAATATCAAAAATCAACGACCTTCGGACCTGATTGTTACAGGTGGAGGGGGACTGGATTGGACATGCCCATACTAAGYTTACTTGAGGGATTCTAGTAGTTCATCTGATTTCATTTGTTGCWATTTTAAAATCTCGAAATCCATAATTCTAATACTAATATCTTAAAACGATACAAAATCAAGAACAGGACATTGTTCACTTCRCCAATAAACTTCAGTAATGGTTATTTAAATACTCTTTAAATGACTTATGTAGAAACTGTTCAGTTCAGGTTTTCATGAACATTCAGGTCTGTTATCATTTACAGCGTACAGTCTTCTCATCGCAGATCTTACCAGTCTTTATCATAAGCTTTAACCTCCTCTTGGGAGAACCAATTGCATTGACATCCAACATATTTTATAGGTCAAGTGAAAGTAAATGCACTTTCAGAGCAGTTTACTCAGGTAAGCTATAAACAATTCAAAGTGCTTCTATTTATCCAATAGCTGCAAATCGTTCGACAGTGGAGAGATTAGAAGATTCCTCCGAGGGATCCATTGTGGATGATGGTCCCACCACATTACATCACAATTGAGTCACAACGCAATCTTCATGTAGTCCGCTATTTCAAACTATTTATCGTTAATAACTATTTATTGATATAAAAGATGTCTTATTTACTAGTATCTGCTAGAAAATTAAATCCGCCCGCCTTTCGTCAGCTTCATTATTCTGGTACTGATGATTCCAATAATTCAGTTGTGATTCCAATAATTCAGTTGTGATTCCAATAATTCAGTTGTAAGCTGAACAGCTGGGCATTAATAGAACACTTCAACTCTCCTCAATATCAAGAGACTCAAAGCTCGTTCAATTCAACCTCTTCATAGTCTGGCGTTCTAGTACAGTATTTTTTCACGATAATGATGATCGCGGCTGTTAGAATAGCGCCACCGATAAAAACACTCATTATTAATCCAGCAATTGCGCCCGCGCTCATCCCTTTACGAGCCTGCTTTGATGCCTTTATGTCATTAATATCAGTACCATTAGTTGGCCCTGTTGTTCCTGAAAGAGATAAGAGTGATGTCCAAAACTTTTGTTAGATACTCTGTGAAATGTCATGCAARATAAATTGTATTTTGTGAAAAGTGGTTGATACCTTCAATTGTTTCATTGTGTATCTTGAAGCTTGTAATTGAATTGGTATGAGAAGTGTGCCGTACATTGTTACTTTGCGAAGCTGGTTTTGTTTTGGTACTTGATGGGCCTTTTGTAGACTGGGATACGGTTGTAGTGGTTGTTGAAGATGATTTATTGATGTCTAAGGACAAGGATTCATTGCTAGATGTATATGTTTGCGACGTTGTTGTTGGTTGAGACGTTGTAGTGGTAAGTTTTGTGGTGGTAGGTGCAGATGTTGTGGTGGTAGGGGCAGATGTTCTAATGGCAGGTGCAGATGTTTTAGTGCTGGGTGGAGATGTTGTGGTGGTAGGTGCAGATGTTGTGGTGGCAGGTGCAGATGTTGTGGCGGTACGTGCAGATGTTCTAATGGCAGGTGCAGATGTTGTGGTGGTAGGTGCAGATGTTGTAGTGGTAGGTGCAGATGTTATGGTAGTAGGTGCAGATGTTGTGGTGGTAGGTGCAGATGTTGTGGTGGTAGGTTCAGATGTTGTAGTGGTAGAGGCAGATGTTGTAGGGGTAGGGGTAGATGTTGTAGTGGTAGGGGCAGATGTTGTAGTGGTTGGTGCAGATGCTGTAGTTGTAGGTGCAGATGTTGTAGTGGTAGGTGCAGATGTTGTAGTGGCAGGTGCAGATGTTATAGTGGTAGGGGCAGATGTGGTAGTGGTAGGGGCAGATGTTGTAGTGGTTGGTGCAGATGCTGTGGTTGTAGGTGCAGATGTTGTAGTGGTAGCTGCAGATGTTGTGGTGGTAGGGGCAGATGTTGTAGTAGTTGGTGCAGATGTTGTAGTGGTAGGGGAAGATGTTGTGGTGGTAGGTGCAGATGTTGTAGTGCTAGGGGAAGATGTTGTAGTGGTAGGTGCAGATGTTATAGTGGTAGGGGCAGATGTTGTAGTGGTAGGGGCAGATGTTGTAGTGGTTGGTACAGATGCTGTGGTTGTAGGTGCAGATGTTGTAGTGGTAGGTGCAGATGTTGTGGTGGTAGGGGCAGATGTTGTAGTGGTTGGTGCAGATGTTGTAGTGGTAGGGGAAGATGTTGTAGTGGTAGGTGCAGATGTTGTAGTGGTAGGGGAAGATGTTGTAGTGGTAGGTGCAGATGTTGTAGTGGTTGGTGCAGATGTTGTAGTGGTAGGTGCAGATGTTGTAGTGGTAGGGGCAGATGTTGTGGTGGTAGGTGCAGATGTTGTAGTGGTAGGGGCTGATGTTGTGGTGGTAGGTGCAGATGTTGTGGTGGTAGGGGCAGATGTTGTGGTGGTAGAGGCAGATGTTGTGGTGGTAGGGGCAGATGTTGTGGTGGTAGAGGCAGATGTTGTAGTGGTAGGAGCAGATGTTGTAGTGGTTGGTGCAGATGTTGCAGTGGTTGGTGCAGATGCTGTAGTGGTAGGTGCAGATGTTGTAGTGGTAGGTGCAGATGTTGAAGTGGTAAGTGCAGATGTTGTGGTGGTAGGTGCAGATGTTGAAGTGGTAAGTGCAGATGTTGTGGTGGTAGGGGCAGATGTTGTAGTGATAGGTACAGATGTTGTAGTTGTAGTGGTAGTTGCAGATGTTGTGGTAGATTGAGATGCTGCCGAAGATACTGTTGAAGATACTATTTGCATTGTGGTAGCTTCCAGTTCTTTTCTTTGCAATGAAGTTACCGCTTTTGCTGGTGTAGCTGTCGTTGTATCTTGACTCTCTTTTGCCACAGTTGTCGCATTACCACTTTCTGTAGTAAAACAGTTATATAATGCTCGACAAATAATCACAGATATTGCAATGGAAATTGATAAAGAAAAAACTCCCTGGCGCAATCAAGACTGAGCTTGCTTTTCATTTCGTCCTTGCACTTTTCATAATACTTATAGTGTTGATTTCATCTGGGAGACTGGACCACAGCAATACCAAGATGCACAAAAAACTTTGTTTTTTAAAATTTCGAGGTTTCTAGACATAAATTGATCATGAGGCTACTCACCAAYTGTGTTGGCTTCATTTCTCAATTTTACTTGCGTGGTTGTGACATCCATAGAACTTGTTGGTAATTCAGTAGAGTTTATCAATGACTTTGCACTAATAAAATTAGCAAGTAAAGCCAACAGTGACACAATGAAGTGTCTAGACGTGACGAAATTCATTGTTTTAGATGGATCTTAGAAAAAAAAGATAAATTTTTGTAAATAACAAATATAGGATATAGAATTATTTTGGACATCCTGGAACATCGTTTTTCACTAGTATTTTCTGGTTATATAGTAAAATGATATGATAAAAATGCCAGGGGTGCGCAATCATAAATAACGAGGCGCGAATTTCAAATGATATGTTCTTTCTTTCAAATGCTGTACAAAATATATCATATCTAAAGTGGGTGAGGTTTTAAATATATGTGAACATCATCCTCAACTTGTGCACTAGACCTTAATCAAGATAAATACGTCCACTCTGCAAACACTAAGACCATGAAAAAATTTAGCTGTAATAATTGAACTAGTGTTAAATTGCACTGAATTAGTGATTTTTTTTTTTAGCGAGCTCTTTCATGATTTTAGTGCTTTCAATCTAATAACACTTTATTTAATAAACCCAAACGCAACTCACTCACCTTTTCATTGAAGRCACGAGTTAAAGCATTTAGTACGAGGGTTGATTTTCTCTCGATAACAAAGATTTGATGGAGTAATTAGTTGACGGAAACCAAGTCGATGAAGTTATTACCTAYAAGCATGGAGTGCAATCAACGATCTCAAACGAAGAAACTTCTAGGCTCTCGCAACTTCAGCCGTTGTGGTATCACTTTATTAAAAATGAATCTYAAATTGAATCATTAAAGTTGCAATACCTTTTGTCAGTCTGGTTGTATACATCCGATTTATTTTCAGATCAATAGATGTTTTAAGCGTATGGCTGGCGTCAATTGCTCCAACACCTATTCTATTCCAATAAAGGCGTGCGTGAGAAGTGCTTAAATCTTTTGTCAGGTATTAAAGGTTGGAAAACCGCACAACTATTACATATAGGCAGTTCGGCAAGAATATCATTAACATTGAAATAAGTAAGTTCGACAGATGGTATTTTATATATATAATACATATATGAAGGTCGCCAAAATAAAAATATTATCCTAAAATAGGTTTAAAGATATTTAGATGAATTTGTTGAAATAGCGTCCAAGATTGCCAAAGCAAATTAGCCAATCAGAAGCCAAGTACTTAACCAAATTGATACATACCKTTTGGAAACGTTATCAGAGGGAATCATAATGTAGGTTTTGTCAAATAGATTAAATCAAATCTTTATTTTACGCTTTTTTCATGATTGTTTAAACTAAAGTGAAAAAATTAACCCGGTTTTTTGGAAAAAATACTATTAAAATGAATCGCAGCACTTTGGTCAAACACCTGTTCATGTTTTCAYTGACAGTGAATAATTTAAAGGTTTATAGGTCTTAATTCGGTTTAATCAGAGAACTTGAGGTCACTTATAACAGGAGGAAATGCTAGCAAAAACACTTGATGAATACTATTGTGCTAAAAA